CTACAGCCGACAACAACAGCAACAACAAGAATCCCACTCAACCAGCCCTGGACTACCTCCTCCTCCACCACCCACCCACCAACACCCCCAGAGAGAGTGAGAGAATCCACGTCCACCTCTTCTCCAACGGCGGGGTGCACACAACCACGACCCTTCTCTCCTCCTACAAATCCACAACAGGACACCCCCTCCCCATCACATCGCTGCTCATTGACAGCGCGCCTGGGAAACCATCACTGGTTGGAGCGTTTCGCGCCTTCTCGTTCGGTCTTCCCAAGAATGTTATCCTGAAGTGGGTGGGGAGGTTGTTGCTGGGGTGTATGTTGCTGGTGATGTTTGGGGTGAGATGGGTGTTTGGGAGTGAGGATGGGGTGAGTAAGGGGAGACGATTTCTGAATGATAAGAGTGTTGTGGGGGAGGGTGTGAGACGGTGTTATGTTTATTCGGAGGGAGATGGGTTGGTGGATTGGAGGGATGTGGAGGAGCATGCGCGGGAGGCGGAGAGGGTATTTGGGGATGATGATGGTGGTGTTGTGGTTAGGAGGGAGAAGTGGGGGAGGGGTAGTGGGCATGTTGAGCATATGAGGGTGGATGGGGGGAGGTATTGGAGGGTTGTTGGGGAGATCATAGAAGGTAAATAGACGGGGGTTTATTAAGGTTACGGTGGATGGTGGGATGTTTACTGCATATTTGCAATAAGATTTAGAATAAGTCGACCGACGATCGCCGAGCGCTATGCATGCAATAAGAAGCAAAGAAAAGACACATCCAGAACCGGCTTTTATGTACACACTCCGATGAACCAAATGAAACGCCCAACTTTTTCTTCTTCTTCTTTCCACTCATCAATTGTTGTATTTGTTGTGGTGTTTGTTCATTTCCTCTTGATCCATATGTCCCGTCCTATCATCGTTGTCCATACTAGGAGGGCAGCTTACCGCCCCTTCATCTCAGGAAACTCATCATCAAGCTTCAATCGCGCCGTAACATTCATACTCATCAACTCCTGAATCAGCAGCTTCGCCGCATACGGAATAGCCATCTTCACCACGCTCCGGGACGACTTGCACCGCTGGCACCAGTTCAGGTAACCCATGAAACCGCACTGCTCGCAGACATCGATCTCATGACGATCAGAAGAGATCATCAGTCGCTCCAGCAGAAGCTGACTAGTACCATACGCAATCAAACAATCACGTTCCATCTCTCCCAGACGCAGACCACCGTCACGGGAACGACCTTCCGTAGGCTGACGGGTGAGGATAGCGCGAGGACCACGAGCACGCGAGTGCATCTTATCCTGGACCATGTGCTTCAGTTTCTGGTAGTAGATGGGACCGGTGAAGACGTAGAAGGGCAGGGCCTCGCCCGTGATACCGGAGGTGAGGTAGTCCTTGCCACCGTAGCTGAAGCCGTTGTCGATAAGGATCTGGGACATTTCCTGGACGGGACTGCCGCCGAAGCAAGTACCGTAGCCGTGCTGACCAGCCAGGACACCGGCTTTTCCGGCGACGAGTTCCAGCATCTTTCCGACTGTCATTCGAGAGGGGAAACCGTGAGGGTTCATGATAATATCAGGGTTGATGCCGGTGTCGGTGAAGGGCATGTCGGCTTGGTCGGCGATGATACCCACCACACCCTTCTGTCCGTGACGCGAGGAGAACTTGTCGCCAACTTCCGGGCGACGGGTCTGGCGGGTTAGGACCTTGACGAGTTGGTTCTCGTTCTCGGTGACCGAGACCATCACCTTGTCGATGTAGGCGGGGTCTGGGAGCTTGTAGGTCATGGGCGTGGGCATGTACGAGACGGGCCGGCCGGCGTCGGAGTTGGGGAAGCCTGAGGACATGGACTGGTCAGGCGTGGACTTGTTGATGTAGACTTCGCCGGCGTTAACTTGTTCACCGACAGCGGCGAGACCGTCACTCTCGAGGAGCGCGTGCTTGCGGATCGGTGCGTCGTTTTCGTAGGTTGGTCCGCTCAATCGGTCCTTCGTGCCGTTGGAATAACTCTTCAGGTTGGTGACGTATTTCCGGAACACCTGGCAGCGTCCAAAGCCGCGGTCGACTGATCCCTTGTTCAGGACCAAGGCATCCTCAATATCGTAACCAGAGTAACTCATGACAGCGACAATGGCGTTCTGTCCGGCAGGAAGCTGGTCGTATTTGGTCAGCTCGATGGTGCGAGACTTGACCATGGGCTTTTGTGGGTAGACCATAAGGTACAGGATTGAATCGATACGCAGGAACTGGTTGGAGGCGATCGCGCCGATAGCTTGTTTACCCATGGCACATTGGTAGGTGTTACGGGGGGACTGGTTGTGGTGAGGGTAGGGAATAAGACCGGCGACTGCACCGAGGACTGTGAAGGGTTCGATCTCCAGATGGGTGGTGGTTTCTGTGATGTCTTTTTCGTAGATGGAGATCAAGGAGTCGTTCTCTTCGTTGACATCAAGATACTCAACCAGACCTTGAGCAAGGAAGTCATCGAACTGCATTGTACCATTACGCAGCTTCTCGAGGTGCTGGGCATTGACACGAGACTTGCCGTTTTCGACGACAATAAGAGGTCTACAGATTCGCCCATCGTCGGTCGCGACATGGACGGCCCTCTGGTGGTGGTTGATGTAGATACTGACGAACTCAGAAATACGTCCCATCCGACGCAGTCTGCGGAACGCATCAAGGAAGTATTTCGGACGACGTGTGAGTGCAGTGGGTGTTCCGTTGATTGAGATCGTGTAGCAGCCAGGCCCGTAAAGCTCCTTACCACCCACAGTCTGAATGTCTTCGGCGCCGAGCATGAAAATCAAGTTCCTAATCGGGCCCTCTTCGTCGTTGGTTGTGATATGGGTCATGAGTGCCAAGTTCTTGACGAGACCACAGGCCTCACCTTCGGGGGTATCGGCCGGACAGAGCATACCAAATTGCGACGGCTGCAATGCACGAGGACCAGAGACCTTTCTCGTCTTTTCGAACTGACTGCTAATACGCGTCATCATACCCAGAGCCGCAATATAACTCAGTCGACTGAGCACGTGGGTCACACCAGCACGTTCCATGCGGAAACGCTTCAAACTCCAGTTACCCGTCGAGATAGCACGATTCATACCCTGGGTGATATGGTTGCTATGCATGGTAATAACACTGTAAGCATCGAAGGCCTCGGCACGGTTGCGCTTGTTCAGAACTTTGTCGATGTTCATCTTGATGTCGAAGCAGAATTTCTTGAACAAATCTTCAAAGAGCAAAGCCAGCAGTTGACCAGCCAATTCCAGACGCTTGTTTCCGAGATAATCACGGTCATCAACTAAGCTGGCATCGTTCTTGGCCATAAGCACACGACGCGCCATGTGCGCAACATAGACGGCCTTTGGCCGGAAGTTCATGTTCTTCACTTCGATGTGGGAGATGATGACAGAGGCAATGGCCTCGACGGCTTCCTGAACATGGGTACGGCGGTAAGAAGGCGACTGCTTGCGGTTGATCTTAATCCGAGCACCAATCCAATCCAGAGCCTGTTGTTGCGTGTAAATACCCAACTTGATCGCCTCCTCGAAGTTGATGGCAAAGTCTTCCTGGTAAACCTTGTCGACACCCGCGACCAGCAGAAGCATCTCCTTGTCTGTGTGAATACCCATCGCCTTCAAAAGAATGACGATGGGAATATCCTCACTGAGCACGTTGTGCTTCACGTAGAGCTTGTCCTTTTTGAGAACGATGTAACTCTTCGACTTTCTCTCGTTGGAAGAACTGTAACCATATTAACATCATAACTCTCGACGATCAATCACGAAAATCTCTCACCTTGTAACCGACGCCTGGACAATCTCCTTCTTGGGGTCGGTTTCAACAATAATTCTGTTCTTGCTCAACTGTTCCTGGACGAGAATGACCTTCTCCGTTCCGTTCACGATGAAGTAACCACCAGGATCCAAAGGACACTCGTTCAGCACCGTCATCTCCGCCGGCGTCTTGTTTGCCAACACACACTTGGAACTCCGAAGCATAACCGGCATTCTACCAATGGCGACACCCTTCCTCATGACCCTTTGACGGCCACGGACATACTCGAAATCGACCTGAATGGGAGCCGCGTAGGTTGTATCACGCAGGCGACACTCTTGCGGAGACACGGTCGAATAGGTGAAGTCAGCCCGCGCATCCTGCGGTTCGTCGGCACGGCGCGGGAAACCCAGATAGATATTGGTGAACTTGATGTAGAAGGTATGGTCGACATCGCTTCGAATTGTAGAGCTGGACTCGACAATCTTCTTCAATTGAACCTCAACAAGGTAGTTGTAAGAGTCAATATGCTGCTTCACCAATCCCTTGACCTTGAGGAAAGCCGGCAGAAGGTTCCATTTGTCTTTCGCAGTGTTGATCGGATCGGTGAGGGACTTGTTGTAGTAGAAAGGCTCCAGAAGCGCATCAAATGGATCGCGATGACGGTATGTAGAATGCGAATGCTCGTGCTCCTCGGTCGACTTCTGCTGCTGTTCCTCCGCACTGGGTGGTGGCGGTTGTTCGGCTCGGGGAGGTTGTGCGGTCTGGGAAGGGCGTCTGCGTTTCGTAGTCTCCCCGGCACCTGGCCTTGAAGATGCTGCACCCTATATTATCAAGAGCCGTTAGCCTGGGACCCTTCTCTATCGGAATTCGTAAAACACTTGATACTTGCCTCTGAAGGTTGCGCAGATCGCAGGTTCGCCGCAGAGATCGGCGCTCTTCTGCGGGGCGGCATCGCTGTTCAAACGGTGATAATCTCCCCCAAGAGGAACTGAATACTGCCGTATGCCAAGTGTCAAGGTGTAGGGGAATATCACGGCATTCTGGGGTGACGGGCACAATTTCTTCTTTATCAGCGAGGGGAAATATCCGGGCTAAATTCCAATTCGGCAGAATAATTGCTTAGGTAATGAGCAGCTATCCTGGAACGGTTAGCCTACTGTCTAGCTTACAAATTCACAGGCTAACTGGATTTAGTAGGTATGTATTTCTTATCTTATCGGCTATGGCAGGCTGCACGGTTACGTTTCTGGCATGTGCAACTAATTAGTGCATGTGCATGACATACCTATAATGTTTCTTCCCAATTCTGGTCAATTATCGCTGGGCTGTCTGGGTAATAGGTTTGAAGGCCTTCATCAGTGTTATGGACAGCGATTTAGATTTGGAAGCCTTCTCGAGCTCGTCCAAGGATTGTCCTTTTGTTTCGGGCATGAAGAGGGCGCAGATGAATGCCGTAATCAGGGTGCATCCTCCAAAGAGAAAGTATGCACCAAAGCTGCTCTTTGACAGTAATATGGGTGTTATCAGTGCGACCAGAAAGTTGGCGGCCCAGTTGCTGCCATGTGCCAGGCTAGTGGCCGATGCGTGAGTCCTTTGTGGTCGTATCTCTGCTTCATAGGTCTTAATGCCAACTGCCCAGCAGAGAGAATATATGACTGCAAAAATATAGGTGCAGACAACTACCACCCACCAGCCTGCGCCAATTGAGTTGTATACGGCATTCCCTGCGTAGAGGCCACCTATCAAGCACATTGTGACGGCGAGGCCGATGCCACCGTAGATAGTGCTAAGTCGTCGGCCCCACCTGTCCGCCCATTTGAGCGCCGGAATGGTTACGGCGAAGATAACTATTGCAGAAACACCAGAGGCAAAGAAACTAGCATCTGAGGAAGTTAGGCCTGCTTGCTCGAAAAGCAATGGGGCATACTTAAGGCAAATGTCAGCAGGAGACGACAATGGGTTTAGCCGGAAAACCCACATAAAGTACACCATCTATTCTGCTGAGTTGCTGCATGCCCATGAGAAACATCGTCAAAACAGTACGTGTCCGTACGTCTTTGGAAAACAGATCGAAAAATTTGTGCTCTACTAATCTGTCTTGACGTTGGGATGCGGACGGAGCATGTCTGTCGCTGGAAGCACTCGCAACAACCTCAGTAGTGACGCCCTGAGTCTGCTTATTCTCAACCTTTTCACGTTCAGCCTGCTGACACCAAGGTGGTCCCAAACTACAGTAGCCTCCGCTCCCCGGCCGTGGAGGGCCAACCATCTCGGTGAGGGATTCAACCACAGGAGTGAAGCTACGGAGAAGGTAATAGCCAGACAAGCCAGGATAACGAAAGGCGTGCGCCATGAATACGAAGTCTTCATACGAGAAGTACCGCAGCATGTAAAGAACCCTATCGTCAACCCCAGAGTAACCAGCAACTGGGGCCCGGTCGTCAATGCTCCTCTAACCCTCGGCGAGAAGTTTCGCAAATGTAGTTGCCGATCAATCAGAAAACGAGAAACCAAAAGTACCACAGTTCATAGGATAGCCACATACACGACCAGGGTTCCAAGATATAATCCCTCACCTACACCCTCAATGCAACGTCCCACAACAAACATCCCGATATGCACAGCAGCCGCCTCCAAAGTTGCTCCAATCGCAAAGATCAGGGCACCAATGCTGATACCCTTTGGCCTTCCCAGTTTTTCTGCCAGATTCCCCGCGAAGAAGAAAGAAATGCGGCTGAATGAGGATGGAAGAGACGATCAAGCCATGAACTGTTGATGATTGGCTGCCGAATTGTGAAACGAAGCTGTTCATAACCGTGACAGGCCCAATGATGCCAGTATCCATTTTATGAAACTTTTGTCAATGTTGTACCAAATGGCTCGCCTAAAAAGATTAGATCCTTACCCAAACAGCAGACCCCCGCATGAGCACAGTATACTGGCCAGAACGTATCTGGGGGGTTTGTGTAATTGTATTATTGGGGCCTAGTGATAGGCGTTGGTTGCTTCTATGAGGTCAATTGGACAAATAGCACACAATGCCGTGCAAGAGACGTAAGGTGAGAAAGCAGCGCCAAAGATTGGAAAACATGAAGAATTCCAATTAAGACGAACTACAAATAACCACTCGAGTCATGAGCTGTCTGGTTTAACTGATAAAGAAAGTGAGAGTGAGACCCTTTCACAGGCCAGACCCCACGCCGCCCCACCGTCGACATTCAATCTGGACCCCGAATTCATTCGGCCATCCCATGCCCTGCGTTATTATTACTTTCAATTCTCATTGTCATGATGGGAAATTGAGGTAAGTACTAGGAGGTGATAGCCAGTGCTTAGCTTATCAAAGTAACTTGGGATGGATATCTGTAGCACCTCACAAGGCTGTTTCTAGAGCTCCAAAATCCAAAACCTACCTTTCGTTCTTATGATACCCCACATAAGCGACTTCCCGGGACTGTGTTCCGTCGAGACTTACAGCCATAGAAAAGGTCATGTTAGATGCATATGTCCCTCGCATCTGCTATGGGCCGACTTTTTGGGTAGATGCAGAATATTAGGAATGTTAGATGTTACAACTTTGCGGAGGAAATCGGGAGGGTACGTGCAAACGCCATTCCGGGGTGACGAAAGGTGGCATTGAAGTGATAGATCATATGCCCCTCGAACCATGATCTTTCATCGAAAAGTCTTCCCTATATCTCAACTACGTCATCTTTCGACTAAAAGGATCAGGGACAGGAGCCTCAATCCACAAGTGATATCACAATCCGATGTAGCAAATATTATTGATTCGTCTATAGATATGCTGAAGCTGGTTAATTCCATCCATGCTAGATAGTATTAAATGCATATATGATACCACTGCTGAGGTTTCTAGATGAAGACGAATAACGGAAGTCTTAGGCGGCTTAATGCAGAGGCATACTACTAACTACTGACAATCCTGAGTGTATGGGGAGTCTGTTCGAAAAGTTGTACTGCCTACACCTCCAAGTGAAACGGCTCTCTGATATTGCTGGTATGTTTCGTACGACTTTCTTGCAGGGCAGCATGGAGGCTAGAGGCATCGAAACAGATAACATCAGGCTTTCATGAGATCCAAAGTTCAACTAAATAGAGGAATTCTCCGTTCAGGTCACGAGAAGACTTTCTCAAGAAGGAAAACCATTCATTTTCTGCAAATAGCCCGTGAATTTCAGAGGCTTGAGCACCGCGACTGCAGACGTTGTAGATTGAGCTGACTCCCAGTCGAAGCGGCTGTCATTTGCGGTGTTTAAGGCGAATGCCTGAGGTAGTTTTAATTTTGCCTGGCAACATGCTGCCTTTTCGAATTATTATCAAGCCTGCATGATGTACCATGTCGAGGCTCTTGGATAATGTGTAGCCAGTCAGCAGATCGAGTGATTTGTTTATTGCCCATGCTTTTTCCGTTTGTAACCGGTGGCACTCACATAGAACGCGCGCGTCGGAATATGATGATGTCTGGTCAAGCTGCCAATCAAATAAAATGTCCTTGCCGGATAGGCTGCCTTGATAGCCAAGGTGCCCTACTACCATCCTACATGGTGCCTATTAACATGGTTACCCCGTCTTGTTAATGAGCGAACTCATGGCAAACGAAAGGATGATATGTACTAGCAAGTCTGCATATCTTCCCGCACTTACATTATTCGGTCACCCATGATTCAGTCATCATTTCCAGTGAGCGACTTCTTTCGATGGCCATGGTGGGCTCTCAGACCCTGTGCAAAATAAGCCATCATTTGGGCAGGCGTTCGTCGAAATTACCGAAAGTGGTTGATTTATTTTTTCTTTTGCTTCCCTGTAACTGCAATATAGAATAACATGTTAGTATGCCCGAAGGTATCATGCGGCTAATCATTCGGGTTCCATGTTTCCCGATGCCTTATTGTAAACGATGGAGATGCCTGAGTTTAAAGTATGATTAGATTGATGCAGGCTCATCTGCCAAATGAGGACCCAAAGGGTTAGGGACAGATACGGCTGCGTCAGAGAAACCATTGCTCACCGGAAGTCTCAGCTGCTGCTGTATGTTATCTGGTGTGTTCAAGGGCAGTAATTTCCGCCATGGTTCCTTCATGGGGACGCAGCAGGATTTTGAAAACTGATTGTGCAATAGTCCCCGCAATTCCTCAGTAAGGATGTCACGACTTTGGGCTGTGCCATTTTAAATTTGGCTGCAATGTCAAAACGTGTATGCTGGTCAGGCTGTTTGATGGTATTGTCAGGCTATGGTACGGATGGCTTCATTGATTATAGATGCATCATCCACCCATCATATGGCAAGAGAGACATTGAGGTAATTCTAAAAATACCCCAGATTCTCAGAACACAATCATTACGGAACGATGCAAAATGAACTTTTTTTTGGCGAAATTCTAGGAGCGCGGTTAACGTCAACCCGTGCAGTCTATCTAAAGCGTCTTGTTAGTAGTCATCGTTCTCATTCCAGTAATACAAAGCCGCATAGCCTGTGATTTACAGCCCAGTTGATATAGATTATCCGCGCAGCTCGTGCAGCCACCTTGTTGCATTCACCTAAGGCAACTCAAGCACGAAGTAGGTTACCGCTCATCCGAGCGTCATTGATGCCTGAAATATGAATAGCCTGCCAGATACACCTGCAGAATCAGGTGATATATGCGTGAATGCCAAATCCATATTTGACGATTGGTATCTCATACCCGTTGGTACACTCAAAAAGAAGGGTGACAAGGTCTGGTTAACTTATCAGGCATGACCCCGAGTAGTAGCTGTATCAGCTGCATCTAGCCAGGATACTGTCTCCACAGATAGTCGAAGATGCCGGTACACGGAGAATTCTGGCAGACCAACACGTCTGTGCTCTTGTACAACTCAAGTCTGTGTCTGCAGGGAATCGCCATGCTCCAACTGTGGGAGCACGTCAGGTGAATACGTGACCTCCGTGGACTGGTCTTGACAGAACACCATCGAAAATGTCGCGGGAAATCCGAAATTCCCGCAAGGGATACCAATTATGCGGTGCATTGGGATAATACTCATTTAGTTCTAGCTTCTTCTGTCCTATGGTAACAGACAACCAGCTATGCCATATGGCTGCAGTAGCTAAAGACCATACTGTCAATATGCTTGATAGTCAGGTGCCAGCAAATGACGCCCCAATCAACGACCATACAGTTAGTGAATTGCATCCGCAGCTACTGTTAGAGGTGCTGCTATAATGTGAGGACCATTCTGAGTACTTCATGACGACCATAAAGATAAAACGGATGGACACTAGAGGGCCGAAATTCTGGCTACATTCATGAGTAGCCATTGTTTTCTTTTCGAAAGCAGGGCTGCAATTATGGCTGCACTGTCGGCTAACCTCCGTAGTTTGCGGGGTTGGGCAACAACATGTCCAGTCTTCAGGGGATAATTGCCTTTGCCCATTTCGGAGCTGGAGGTATCCGGTACCAAATTGGTTGGAGTAGGTGTATGGAGTACAGCTGTTACTGGCTTCATGGATGCAGACTGCATATTCCAGGCAATTGGAATGGCTCCTGAGATTGAAAGGTGGGTAGAAGTTGGCGACAGATCAATTCAGTCCTCTGCGGAGCATGTGGGGAGATGATACTTGAGAAGACACTACTGTGTACAAAGTATGTTTGAGGCGGTGGGCTTTCTCTTGACCGCAATTTTAGAAGCCATTGCCACTTGGCAGTCGAACCTCTCCATCGGAAAGGTTTCCATTCGACGAATTTCAGGCACGGCGATTAGTGGGCAACCACATACAAAGTAGCCAAAGCACAATGCGGAGCGGCGAAACACCCCTCCAAAGGATGGATCCACCATCAGAAGTAAAAGTACCATATCGGACCATTCACAGCATCACGTGAGATCGACAGTCTTATCAATTTATGGCGTAACATGCCCAGTGACGTTCATGGTGAGTGGTATTGAGTGCTAAAGATATGGAGAGTCACGCGCAAGCCAGTTCCAGAAGACCTGGGCCATGAGCGCAGTGGCTCTTAGCAAGAAGCGCCGGCTCGCTGTTTCATGACCCTCGGACCTATTCCTGCAGCCATCGGACATGGGGGCCATTAGCAGGTATTATCCTGTAGGTACAGTACTTTGTGCAGTGTATTGGATGGAATAATGAGGCGATTTCACCTTTGGTGGGGGGGGGGGGGGGGTAAAATTACCGTTTCCTCACAATCGGTAAACGGAAATGGATGATTGATTATCTAGTATTTCCTTGAGGATCGTGACATGCAGACTAGCAATTGCTATTTCTTGATCACAAGGTTAACCGCAGTCTTGAATTACTGGCAAAAAAATGGTATGCTTAATCCGATTTGCATACAATAC